TGTCTCCAGAGTATTGTCCTGGGCCTGGAGTGTCAGGTCCTTGTTGAACTTCATTGGATCTTTTACCATTCCCAACTGAATATGCTGAAACCATTATATATAATTAAATATAATTCAAATATGCTGAAACTATTGTATTGCAGTGATTCTGAGTGATGATATATATTACAGATAGTAATACTGAAGATGTTTAATGGTCTGCTTGTCAACTTCATACTTTGATGGCACTTTGAATTGACTCAATTATTCAAAATTGTATTTGATTCTAGGATCAATATAATAGATATACACCTTTATTGAAAGATCATTTATTCTTGGTAATCTCTCAAATTTCTTTTGCCTTGAGATGCTTCTCTGATGGCATAATCCAAGATGCTCCACTTCACTAGATCATTCATCTGATCTAACAGAGTGCGCAAATAGGTTGGAAAATTGTTGAGTGGATTACCATTTCTATATTTGAATTTCCTAGCCATTTCATTTACTTATTGGAATTATACATTATAAATCTCAACTACCAAATCTCCCAACTCTACAAGTTCATGTTCTTATTGTTCGATTGAAAACTTTTTGTTATCATTTTTGACTTCTTCATAGAGATTCTATTGAATGTACTGAGCATAAACAGAATTGTTCGTGTAATCTGAATAAGATTGAGGTTCAAAATGATCAGCACGTTAATAGATTAAACAGTATGCATTAGTTTTTGATTTGCCATCTCCATAAGCATCACGCAACACTTTCTCCTCACTCACCTAAGTGACATTGATATCATTGAATTTAAACCAATGTTTCAACGATGGATTGTAAATATAAGTATAATAATGACCAGACTCTGCTGCCCCTTCATGAATTAAAATGCTTTACAGAAAATACTTGTATTTTTTCATTATAGCATACAAGTCTTCAATCTTCTAATTAATTTCATCCAATTCAAACTGATGTTTCTATAAAATCAGTTGAATACTTAATCTACATTACTCAATCCTCTATTGCATAATTTCATCATCTGGTTTCGCCTCTTTCACATACTTAGTAGCTGTGCTCAAGACAGTTAACATTGAAATGCCATTATAATTTTGGTATTTATCCATCTGAAACAATAATTCAGCTTATTTAATTTTGAGTTCAATTAATTGCTATTGTGTTTCGATAACCTTCTATCTGTTCTCCAAGAGGAATCTATCTGCATAGATCTCCTTCTCAAATCGAAATTCATCATTCAATTTGATCAATCCTCTCTCTGGGTCATACCCCACTCTTTATATTTGGAATAACAAGGAATCAGGAATCTAAGTAATCCAAATAGCTTTCTCAGCCAACTCAATCACTTCACTTCCATTACGATATCCTTCTATTGAAAAGGAATTGTTTGCTTCCCAAGCTTAATATAAACTCTTGTTCTTCACATTCAATATAATCTACAAGAATATTTACTCCTGTTCTTCACTCTGATTTCTCTGATTGGGATGTGTGATATACTCTTTGGTTTTTCCAAAAAATAATCTATTGATTATTGTCTAATTCTAAGGTTATGATTGCAATGGCTGTTATTCTATCAATTTGGCCTTGTTCTCATCCAATAGTATCATAGATCTTGTTTAAGTAATTCCAGATTTGTTTCTATCATTCTAATACTAATCTGATTCATGCATGTCCCCACTTTCATCTTTGTTCTACATTTCAGCCATCTATTTTTTTATTCTCATGATATTTCAATCCCTCGGTCAATGCATGTTATAAATTATAAATTGAATTCCGCCCAATCCTTTTAATCCCCCAATTAAAACCTATTACCAAACTCATCTACAACATTCAAGAACACTCTGTATGGATCAACGTACTTTTCTATCTGTGTGAACTAAGTAAGCAAACAGTCTAAAAATATTTATTTTTTGAAACCTCTACAAATGCACAACTAAATCGATTGATGACTTTATTCTCTTTGCTTTTGCCTCATTCTTGTTTAAGAGATCCTCGAAATTCAATTGCACAGGGTATTTAAAGCTCAATATCTCCTTCACAAAGATTGGGTTATGAAAATATGTCTAAACCAGAGAATTCAAATAGCAAACTAACATAAATATCACTAAAACCATTAGCCAAATTTTTCAATCCTACAGGTATTCCCTTTTATCGCAATCGTTGATCAGGAGTCAAAACATCAAATGACAATTCCCTCAAAATCTGGGATTGGGATTGTTATTGAGATTAATCTTTTATTGGAGACTAAACATTTTTCAGAAGCACATCCAAAATCTCTAAGTTTCTATATTACTTGCAAATTTGTTAAGCCTTCAAAATCTATTACTGAGTGAATCCCATATTCAAGAATTATTGCAACATCTTACAAACAATATTAAATTATTACAAACAAAATTTAAAAACATAGAAAACACTGTCAACTGCAATTTCGTAATCATTATATTCAACTCTTATATATATGTTTTAGATAATTTCAAACATCCAAAGTTTTATTTGTTAAAATCTTAGATGATACCCATTCTTAATTCATGATTTCCAATTACACATAAGATTCTCTTACTTTTTCAAAACTCAACGCATTTTAATCCTAGTTGCCCTCCTCCTACAACAGATCATAATAAAGAAATATAGAATCATAAAAGAAATCAGCTTCCTTTATGAATTTCACAAGTAACAATGCATACTTCCGTTAATTCAATACACTCAATGATGAGATTACTCTTTACAACCCCTCTCTATTAGTTTAATTCCTGAAACTTTTAAATTACTTTTCATTCTAAACATTTATTTTATCTTCTTACATTTATAACCCTGCAAAAAACAGATACATTTAAAAGTTTTCAACTAACTATTTTGCCACCTAGAACTGAATGACTATGATTTACTTATTCATTATTTATGATTTCGTTTCGCTCTTATGGAGTTAGTCTGGTACTCTTCGGATTATATTTACTCTTATAAAAATTGGGGAACAAATAGGTTAGGAACTCATAATTGTGATTCATATCATCATAAAATTGTACAATCTCCATTGTATTCTAAGTGTAAGTTCTCCAATTCAAAAGATGTTATTTTATACTATCTTAGATATGATCAAACTTTCCAAGCAGAAACCATTTGTTTGGAAAGTTTTGAATTACTAATGTTTTATTCAGCTCAAATTCCTCCTATTATTATTGTAAGTTTTGTAATTCAGAACCATCAACACTTTTATCAAGGATTTATTAACATTTCTAAAATTCCTCTAAATTAAAGAAGCACTTTATTTTGAGGTGTATCTTTTGATTAAATGAATTATTGAAATTGAGAAGCTTTTGCTCAATTCTGATTTGCTCTTTTAATTTATACTCTTCTGAATTTAAATGAAATGATTCCATTTCTGATTCGAAATCGATATTCTTTTCTTCCAAGTAAGATGTCTCTAATTACTGCCTCCACAATTTAATATCCTATTATGATTAATTCATCTATTGCATAATGAATGTTTTAAAACTATCGATTTCAATTGCTAATTGTTCTATCAATTACACTTTCTTCTAAATTAATATTTTTGTTATTTCAAGCTATTATTATTTCTATTGCAGTATCTTTTCTTTTGCCTCATTAAATGATTTAGCATTATTGGGTAAGGTTTAAGTAGTTAAGCATTTTTGACAGAAGAATTTAGCTTTTAAATCCTAAGTGTCATCTAAAACAAAGAATTGAATAGGAGATGTGTGATTGAATTGGCATTTAATTTATTCAAAATCCTTTCCCATAATTATCTAAGACATTATTAGAAGATTATTAAAAACTTTATAAATTAATAGAATTTGTAGAATAACTATGTTATTTATAAACATATTCAAATCAAATTAACAATTGATTAAATTTTATAACATTAAGTTCATTGTAATTTTACCTATGTTCTATAATAGATATGAATCTTATCTGAATAAATCTTTTGAAAAGGAGAAGATGATTGATATAATCTGTTTAAATTCCCTTAAAAATATATATAATCATCTATTTATTCTAGATTTAATTATTAATATTCTAAAATATTAACATTGAGATTTTTTAAAAAATGAATTACATATACAATTAAATATAGATTCAACAAAAAAATGAAGTGATTCTTCATTATTACTTTGGGGTAATTTAATTTATAAATTCAATCAATAATCAATATTCACTATCTATTCTAAATGTTAAGATTGCCAAAATTATCATTTAAATAATTTATCATTAAATATGTTGGTAATTTTTATACTATAAATTTTTACTTTATTTCTCAGTATTATCTTTATTTATTTATTGATCAAGATAATAATTAGGGATCATTATCATTAGACAAGTCAAATCGTAGTGAATTAGATCTTACTAACTAGCGATCATTTATATCTGGAAGTAGTCAAGTTAACTGAATATAAAATGCGAAAATTTGCTTTGGTTTATTCCACATTCAACCTTATTAGCATTAATTTTAGAATTTTCTAATTTTACCACTTTGATTATGAAAATATTAATCATTTCTAACAAAGAGTATTTTGGTATTTGAATTAACGTTTAAATTTTGTGTTTAATTTTGAATAAATTGGAATTAAAGTGAAAAAAATAATAATTTTGAAATTTTTGCCAACTATGTATTTTCTGATTATAATTTATATTTTATTTAATAATTGCTTTATGAGATTAATTGTTTTGTAATGAGGATATTTTGTTAATATTTTATTAGGTTAATGAAATTTTTTTCAAAATTATTTATTTATCACAAAATAGCATACAACATTTTGTAATAGAATATTTTAATTAAAGAATTTCATTATTAATTGTAAATTAACTAAATTAAATTTATTCTATTGCTAGAGTTCTCAAGGCAATTCTTTAATTAGTACAGATAATTATTAAAATAAATATGAATATGTCATTCTTTCTGGTACTCTTTTCAATAGGCTATTCATTAAATGAGAAATATGAATGCTCATGTGATTAGATATTAACAGAAGCTGATTGTTTAATGAGTTATAAATAATGCAATTGGAACTCTTTTAAGTAGAAATGCCAATAAGATCCTTTAATTATTCCATCATAATCGATGATAAGGGAATATTGTGAACAATTCTCATAGAGTGCTTGTAATAAACTTAAACCTTGTGAATCTTGTGTTTCTAATGGACCTTGCTAATGGTACTAAGGAAATTGTTCTCACTTCACTGGGTGCACAGTATTTGCTGAAAAAGATAGCTTCAAATGTCAATAAATATCTAATAGATGTATAACAGATGGAGTTTATTGTGTGGAAATAGGAGTTTGTGATTCCTACAAAACAGAAATAGCTTGTAAATAAGATATGAATTACAAGTGGTGTTTTTGGGACTATAATTTAAATAAATGTAGATATCCTTAGACATGTTAAGAGTTACCAAAAACATTCACGTACGATTCTTAATGTAGGTCTTAGATATCTACTTGTACAACAAATCATTAAGGAGGTTGTATGAATGAACCTATAATTGTATAATTTGAACCAGGGACTGTTCAAGTCACTGGTTAAGTTTACAAAAGTCAGTGTAAAGACTTTACTCTACAGTCTGAATGTATTAAGAATTCAGACTAAAATCTATGTTATTGGAATGAAATATCATGTGTGGATAAAATATGCTCTAATGCACCAACAATATTCGTAACTAATAGTTTATGTTAATCATTTTTAAGTTATTGTATCACAATGAATGGAGGAGGATGCATGAACAATGGAAAGTGCTAAGTTGCCAATACTTAAGGGGCATGTGATAAAGATATTTATGGAATTGATTGCTTTTGGACTTCTGATGGTGGATGCATATATAAGAGTTGTGATCTTGCTCCTACTACTTTAATTTCGAACTATGATTGTGATTCGTTTCTAAAAGATAAATGTGTTGTTAAGGAGGGGGGTGGTTGTAGAAATAAAGAATGCGAAGATCTTTATGGAAGTTCGCATATTAGCTGTTGGACCCAAAAAAATGGTTGTACAATAGGACTCAATTCAAGATGTGCCAAACCTAAGAACTGTGAAGATACAATATTGCAAGAAGCTTGCATTGAAGGTCTAAATGGTCCATGTTTATGGATTATTAATTAATTCTCTAATGAGTAACCTTAGGGAAAATGTTATAGTTACAACTCATGTTAGAGTATCCAATGGAATACGGATTAATAATGTAAGTAGATTTCTCCTTTTTGCACTACGGATGGTACCAAATGTGTTCCAATAACTTAATGCTCGGAAACCAATACAAATGGAGGTTGTGTAACTGGAAATGATGGATACTGTATGTAAACGGTAACTGCAATTAATGATAATAAACTGATATGTAAGCGCTTTGACTCTTGCTCTTCAGCATATTACTTAATACATGAGTGGTGTTAACATGCTAATTAAAAGTGCACATCTAATGGTGTAACAGGATGCATCCCATTAGCAGACTGCACTGCATATCAAGCTAAAGAGTCATGCAAAGTGAATAGTTCTAAAAACCCTTGTTTTTGGATTGAAGCTGAATAAATTTGCAGGGATAAAAGTTGTTCAGATTTTAGTTATAAAACTAGCTTTTAATGTAATCAAATTGGCAGTGATTTAAAGAAAAGATGTACTTTTGATGGAGTGTAATGTATAGATATATCTACCTGCGGCAATTACAAATAAAAATCAGTATGTAATAATGCAAAATCAGTAGAAGGTAGTTGCATATGGTCGGACCTTGAATAAGCATGCAATGTTAAATTCTGTTAAGATATTTCAGCTCCAAGTCTTTATAATTGTAGTATTGAACTTGCTAATTGTACATTTGATGGTACCAAATGTACCGAGTGGCAAGTGTGCGCTAGTTACTATACAAAGGAGGCTTGCAATACTATGGGTTTGGATGGTATCTGTTATTGGTCTAAGAGTGGAGGATGTTAGTTGATGACATCTTGTAAATCTGCTAGTGATGATGAATAAGCTTGTGCATTAGCTAATTAAAATTGTTTTTGGAATTCCTAAGGCGTATGTTAAGATCACTTTTGTGAATCTTTTTAAAAATCGCATGGAATGTGTGTCAATTTCAACAGTTGGGACAATTAATCCTAAATCTATTGTTCAGAATAATAGGGAGTCTGTAGAAAAGTTGATCCAATCACTTTGAATTAAAATGATTGTTATAAAGTTACAAATTATTTGTACACTTGGAATCCAAATTCTTCTAAATGCACAATTTGTAATCCCCAAATTAAGCCAAGTGTTAATACTAATACTAACATTAATACAAGCACTAGCTCAAACAATAAGAGTAATAATACTAATAGTACTAATAATAATAATAATACTCATGGTTCTAATAATAATAATAATACCAATAACAATAACAATAACAACAACAACAACTCCACAGATAACTCAGATACAGATACGAATCAAAATAGTACAAAATCCTCCTTTTTTATAACAAATTTTGTGTTATTTATTCTAACCGTTTAAATGTGAGACATGAAATATTCATTTTTATTGTATTGATATTAATCTACTTTCCTATTATTACTTAATTATAATAGCAATAGATATTATTTATATTTCATAATTATAATATTCAAATTTACATACTCAATTTAACTTCTTCCAAGCATTTAAGTGTGTCTTAATTGTTTGTATCTATGACCAAGGATTAAACAAATCCCTAACTTATTTTCTTACACTATTCTCTAATCTACTTAGCAGGAGATCTCATTAAATTTCCTAGAGCAGTAACTAATTTGGCAACTGTTTCAACATCTCTTTGTTGATATTACAGAAAAGTGACTACAGTCTCAGATAACATCTCACTGGCTAAGTCATTTAATCCATTTCGTTAATAAATCCCAATTGATAAATTGAGAATCAGATTACCTAGCAATTGAACAGTCTAGATGATATAAATAATTTACCTTTTCATCTGTATCTAGAAGACACAGAATAATGTCTTTAACTATTCTTAAATGATATAGGATTGCACAAGAATTAGTATTATGTTTCAAGCAATTACATAATGTTTACAAGGCCAATCTTACAAGAACAATATTAATAGGTTGAGTATTGACAATTGTGAAAATATTCAGGAATAGATTCATTCCTTTTTCCAGACCTGCGAAAAGCTATTCGCTACTATGATGAACACTGAATATTCTGAAGAAATCATAAACTGGCAATAAGTATTGGGCATCCCATTTTAATAATTTCTAAAGGAAGATGATACTAACAGAATTTTCAATATTGACAGCCTTTTAAACTCCCACTTGTCCTAGGCTTTCAATGCCTTTATTAAATATCAGACATTCCTTCTCTGTTAGTCTAATCTCTTCAGACACTTAAGCATTGAACTCAAATAGTTTCTTACTCAAGCCTTGTAAATTCATGTTTTCATAATAGGTGCATTGAGTGTAAGGGATATATTGAAAATCAATTTATTTTTTGGCCTATTGTTACTGTAATATTTATTGCTAAGCATATTATTCTTTCATAGTTTCTAACTCTGACTTTTTTTATCTTTGTGATTACCCAAAGGATGTATTCTTTTTCAAGAAGTTAACTATTTACTAAAGGTAATGTTTGGAGTATCCTTCCCTTAAACAAAACTTCTCGGCTGTGTCATAAAAGCTTTCCCCTTCATTGTAGGGTAAGAGTTTGGTGATTCCATTATCATCTTCTACATCAAAGACATGATCATACTCTCCAGCCTCAAAGTATTTATCTCCTTAAAAGAACTTCCTTGAGCTTGCCCCTTTGCCACCAATCACATCTCCAATCAATTACCAATTCCTAGTAGCAGCACTCCACATGTAAGCCTCAGGTTTATTTCCATTTCTAAACAATCTAATTTCCCCCTCTTTCTTTCCTACCATCGTAGCCAGCTTATCTACTCCTGGCAATTTCTATATTTCTTCTTCAGACATCCCTCCCTCTTGTTTGGCATTGGATAAAGAAGCTTCCTACTCTAACCCTTCTATTTCAGCCTAAGTAGCCAATCTAGTTGGATCAGTTGTAAACACTCTGACCTTCCCATCACTTGTCCCAATCAAAATGTCATTGTAATTATTTAGAGCTACAGTCCACACAGTATCTGGCAATTAAATAGTTTATTTTGGAGTGCCATCTAAATTCCAGATAATTACCATTCTATCATCACCTCCACTAATTACTTGGTCCAAGAGAACTTTCATTGTAAAAACGAAGCTTTTGTGTCCTAAAAAGGTCTGAATCAATTCAAGATCTTTGGACCAGAGCTTAATTGACTCATCATTGGAGCAAGTTAAATAACCACCTAAGGGAGATGGTAAAATTTCTCTAATGATATCTTTATGAGCCTATACACTCTTGACTTTGGTTTCCTTAGACCAAGAATGTAGAATTCCATCTTAGGATCCAGTTATAAAATTTAAATTTTCATCCCCGTATACTGCCACACCATGTTTATGTCCACTTAATCTAAAGAGTTGTTTCATTTAACTAATATCCCATATGATGGCAGTTGCATCCCATGATCCTGAGATCAGTAACTATGTTAATGATGATTTAATGTACATTTTCTGTGATGCTCTTCAAAGAACACACTTATTATTCATGTCCTTCCAAAATACCTAATGGGTTGCCTTCGTTATCTAGCAAATAGATTTGGTTATCGTGTCCAACTGCATATCCTCCATTGACTCTAGCGCATGTGGCATAAATGTATTTTTCAAAGAATGATATCAAAGTCACTTATTGATAGGAATTATCCTTCATTTCGTACAACTTTGCTGTCTTGTCACTTGAGCCTATGGGAAGGATTGAGAATGTGATTACATGTTATTAATTCATTGCCTTAGGTGGAGATGGATCTCACTATACCATTGTGGGCTGCGATTGTTTGACTCAATTTATATTGCAATGCTTCCATAATTAATGATTTTATATTTATTATTTTAACTAATTAGTGCCTATGTGAAGATCGATTTGCATAAACCCATGCCTCACCATTATAATAGGCACCTGAGAAATGATCTATTGATCAATAATTTCAAGAACACTCAATACACTGGGATTATCAAAATAGGGGAATAGGATCTTGAATTGCTCTTTGATACAGGTTCCTCAATTTTTTGGGTAACATCGAATCACTATTAAGGTATTTTCAAATACGTGTGCCTCATAATCGAAGAAAGCCTCCTTTGATTGCCAATCAAGTCCCAATTGTTTAATGACCAAAGAACAATATAATGTCTAGTATGGATAGGGGGAAATAAGAGGTAACAAGGCCTTTGATCAGTTACAGATATCTAATTTGACGGTCTCCAACTTCCAATTCCTGATAGTGAATTCACAATCAAATTTAGACAACTTGAGAGCTGATGGCATTTTGGGTTTAGGTTTGCAAGAATAATTTGGATTCAATTCCTTAATCAACATGCTGTATGATCAACATTTGATCAATAAGAGGATGTTTACATTCTACTTGAATTCAATACCTGAATAAATCAATAATTCATCTGCTTTGTTCCTGGGTGGTTATGATACTCGTTACATGAGTTCCGAAGTTTAATATGTTAAATTGGATAAGACCGATTCTTGGTCAGTAAAACTAAACACTATTTAAATGAATAATAAAGTTCTAATTAATGATGTGTCGGCATTGATTGACACTGGAACTTCTTTGATTGTTGTACCAACTCATCAATTTACTTAATTATTATCTATTTTAAGAGATGAATACAAATAGTTTTGCCAATACTCTCAATACCAAATAAAATGTTCATGTCCAGATGGGGATTTTTCACATTTCCCTGATTTTGAATTCAGTTTGGAGGGTGAGTTGAAATTGGTATTGAGTCCTCATGATTACATTTACATGGATGTGTCAGTTTGTGTGTTATCGTTTACAAAGAGTTCTAATAATTACTGGATATTGGGGGATACTTTCATAAGAAAACATGTAACTGTGTTTGACATTGACAATAAGCAAATTGGGTTTGCTAAGTTGGCTACATTTGAGAAATAGAGTAAATAAATTTAGATAAATGATTATTTGTATATATTCAAGGTGGTTTGTGTGTGCATTTGTGTGGCGATCGCATCGATATGGATAATTAGACAGGTGAGTTGTTTGGGTGAGGCAAGTCATGAAATGAATAAATGATAAGTAAAGATAATAATTATAATAAATCATTATTTTTTACTAAAGAGAGCATCAGTTAGATTGTCAATAGCCTCTTTCAATTTTGAAATTTCAAAACTAGAAGTTTCTTTGAAAATGAATTTATTTTTGAATTTCTTGGAGTCCAATCCTAGTACTTTGATGAGATCGTCTTTGTTGAATCTATTCTTCTTGTCATTCTTATTGAATAGGAATAGAATGGGAATGGCACTTTTTTTGATTAAATCATCATTCAGCACTTCTTCAATAAGATGTCTTTATAAATGGAATCTAATGAAATGAATTTGTATGCTACCTGTATTCTGAATCACTGGTGTCGATGACATAGATCATGGCTTGGACATCTTGATAGAGGATCCTCCAATTTGATCTATGACGACCATTTCCGGACATATCGTACACGAGACAATACTTCCCTATTTTGGGACAAATAACATAGTGGATCTCCATGGTGGGCGTTGGGAATATCTCCATTCTTTAACTGTTGGAGAGAGTGCGCAACAGACTGGTTTTGCCTGCGTTGTCTAATCCGACACAAATGACACTGAATGCAACTTACATTTATTAAATTAATGAGTAATCGCAAGACGTACGGTAATAAGTAAACGAGAATCTCTTTGGGCGAGATAGACGACATGTTCAATGATGCTGAATTCAGTCAGGCTGTGAAGGATACGTTCAAGAAGTAATCGAGCACGGTGAGACATGATGGTCCAACCCAAACAACAAATATGTTTTATTAGAAGCCAACGATTTCACAGATTATGAGATTGAGAGCCAAGGGATCTCACACAGGAACCCGATGTCCTTCACTAAAGAAGGAGGAACGCAAAACCAGATGGGCTAGTTTAATCAGTGAGGGTCGAACAGAACATCACAAAAGGATACCCT